TTCAATGTTGACCATCATTCCTGTCAACTCTATCATTTTGTAAATAAAGAAATTAAAGTAAGGCAAAAGTTCTTTTTCTGGAACCTATAAAAAAAGTGCAATAACTGATCAATAAACTCTATTTATAAAAGGCCAAACTTACAACTACACATTTAACTAAAGGTGACTTTATCAAAAATGTAACTAAAGTGGTAATATAAGTCTATTATGGAAATTACCAAACACTGATGGATGAAATTACAAAATTTCAAAAGAGGTGAATACTTCTTCTGTTCATAGATTGGAAGAGTTAATATTATTAAAAGTCTGTCCTGCCCAAAGCAATTTACAGATTCAAGGCAATCTCCCCTTAAAAATACCAATGACATTCTTCAGAGAGGAAAAAAAATCCTACAATTCATATGGAAGGACAAAAAACTTGGAATAGCCACAACAATCTTTCAATTATCTGTTTGAGGTTGGGTCACATGATGGAATCCACCTGGCCTCACACTAATGGTCTTCTTGAGGAAACCTTTTGAGGTTTGTTCCTGAGTGTCTGACTCTGAGTCAATATGGAGCAAAAAAAGAACAAAGAGATAGCAAAGTTCCTGATTTTGAGGCATCTATAATAATTAACCTGTATTTTCAAGCAATATCATATATAGCAATACCATATATATTATTGTAAAGTTATTTTATTAAAGTTATTTATTTTATTGTCAAGAGGGGTTACAGTTACATGAGTAAGGTAATGAGTACATTCCTATCTAGTATTGTTACCCCTTCCTTCGTTTTTTCCCTACCATCCTTTTCTGCCCCACCTCCCCAACTCCTCCCTCCCCACTTGAAGTTGTAAAGTTCATTTTCAACATAGGATCTGGTACATCTCATTGTTACAATGGGTCAAACTATATCCTTATTTCAGCATTTTGTTATTTCCTTTCTCCTCTCCATATTAGAAAAATGTATATACAAGATGTAGGGCACTGGAATAAAATACAGTTAAAAAAAAGGGTTATACCATGAGGGAAGAACATACTAAAGAAAGAACAAAATCACATAGTAATTATAAGTACATTAAAAACAACAGCAACAAAGATAAAACCACTTGTGTTCCTATCTTGGGGTTCATTTCGCTTAGCATCATCTTATATGGTCTTATGTACATAGCTTTTGGCCTTTTCTTCTTGTCCTAGACATATACTAGTTAAGCAATACTATTTTTATTTTAATTTTTTTGTTATTACAAGAATAATGTATAGAGGAGTTATAGTTACATAGCAATATCATTTCTGTATCCTCTCCTCTCATATATTTCATATCTTTCATTTTTCCTTTTCCTTGGCCTTATCCTCTTCACTACTTAATGTTTACTATGACAATAATTTTAAGGGCCTAGCACGTGCTATAACCTCAGTTACTTTTGTATGACCTTATTGAGGTTATATATAATGTTTTTGTGCCTTTCACTTTATTTAAATATCTAATTTCTTTCTGAAATCATGATCTTGTTATTTAAGAAAGTTTTAAAATTGTTATTATAACAGTGATGTACAGGGGGGTTGTAGTTACATGTCAGCTAAAGAATACATTCCTTTTTGGACAATGTCACCCTTTCTCCTGTTCTCTCCCAGTTTTTCCCTCCCATTCCCACCCATAGGTTGTAAAGTTCATACTGTGGTACCTACATGGTCCAGTGGCTATCATTGGTGATTTATTCTTCCTTTGTCCCTCCATTTCTGTTTCCTCTTTTGCCCTCTCAAAGACATATAAATGAGCAAACAGAACAAAAAGGAAAGAAAACAAAAGCAGCAAAAAAGAAAAAAAAGACTCTAATTTTCATTTTCTGGAGTTTATTTCGACAAATGTTATTATTTTATATATATGTCCTTTGGACATATAACTATGTCCTTTGCTGATGATAATGCTAATTATGAATCAAAATTCCAACTCATGGTAAGAAAGTGAACATCAACCCTGCAATGATCCAGCTCTACCTGAATATTGAGATTACTTCAAATGAGAAACTATGGACAATTAAAATCCCCAACTAATGACTTGAACTCCTATGTGCAAATCACAATGAAGAAACATTCTATATGAAAAAAAAAACAGACATCATGACTCATCCCAAAGTCAGTAGCTGACAATATAAAAGACTCAATTGATAACAAAGGTAAAAATCTCATGGGGGGGAAGAGGGTGGAGTGGAAGGGCGGGGGGGAAGATGGGATGGGAAGGGGAAACAAAGGAGGAGGCTACAATGCTTGATAAAAAATGTATTCATTATCTTGCCCATGTAATTGTAACCCCTCTGTACAGTATTTTCACAATAAAAACAAAAAGAATTCAAAAGAACAAGAATAACAATGAACAATGAGAGAATTTTCTTGGCCAGATTCCTCAGGGCTTTCCTTGTTAGGGATTTCATCATTTCAATTCTTTTCATCAGGATTTCTGCAGCAGGTAACTCATTTTCCAAGCTTTGTCTCTAATGTCCTTCAAGACACAGGAGTCATTTCTCTGTCCCCACTTAGTGCTACTATAATGCTATTCAGCTTCAAAAAAGTGTTTCATCAAGTCAGTCAACCCACTTTGTATGTCTACTGGGAAAATAAGGGAGATTTAGATGATAAGCATCCTCACCCTTAAAGAGCTTTGGGTCCCAGAAGTACACAGACATTCCACAAACAGACATTTCCAGCATAGAACAGTGTTGAGGACAGAACTTTGGAAATCTGGGCAATTCCAGTAGCTTTTTTCTTTTGTTAGCTGTGGGGTTTGATCTCAGGGTCTGGGTGCAGTCCCTGAGCTCTTTTGCATAAGGCTAGTGCTCTACCACTTGGAGCCACAGCTCTACTCTGTTAATTAATTAATTTATTTATTTAGATACTACCAATTTTTGAATGGTTAATTGGAGATAAGAATCTCACGGAGAGTTTTTTGCCAGGGCTGGCTTCAAACCGCAATCCCTAGATCTCAGCCTCCTGAGTAGCTAGGATTACAGGCTTGAGTCACCAGCACCTAGCTCCCATAGCTTTGAAAAAATTAAATCCTTACTTGCCCGAAGAAGGCTGTGAAGTCATGACTAGTTTGACAATAATTTCATGCACAGTAAGTAGGATGAAAAGACATGCAATGTGTTGCTGAATGATCACTGGTGGTGTATATATGTTTGGCAGATGCCAAACTTATGAACGGGTTTCTGCTACCCAAATCAACAGATGTGACAAAAGATGTGAAAGTGCATGTGCTGTTGTAAGAATTTAAAAAAAGAAAAGAAAGAAAGAAGCACTATGTAAAAAATGAGGGCTTTCCAAGGAGAGCCATAGCAAAAGAAAAAAACACCCCAGCTATTCACTGTTACTCAAGACTTCAAAGTATGGTTAATGATTCTGAAAACTGGTTAGCATTTGGAGACTGATTTTTTTCACATGTCTTTTTCTAAAGAATAATCAGCAAAATAGAAGAGGACATGTATAAATTTCAAGAGAATAAAAATACAAAGTTGAAGCCGGGCGCCAGTGGCTCACACCTGTAATCCTAGTCTGTGAAACTCTTATCTCCAATAAGCCACCAGAAAACCGAAAGTGGTGCTGTAGCTCAAGTGGTAGAGCGCTAGCCTTGAGCTGAAGAGCTGAGAAACAGCACCCAGACCCAGATTTCAAGCCCCACAACTGACAAAAAAAAACCCCAAAACAAAACAAAAAACAAAAACAAAGCTGAGTATAAAAAAGGAAGACAATGCTGGAGATGAAATAATTCAGTAAAGAAACATAAATCCTAAAACATAAAGTGAAGTTGTGGAAATAAAAACTTAACAAGTATAATAAAATCAACCAGAAACCTTGCTTATAGAATGGAAGTGAGTTGAAAAATATCTAGCCTTGATTATAAGCATTTGGAGACTGCCTATGGAGGTAATTATGCTAACCATCAACTTTCAAAACAAGTAAGAGGTTCATAATTGCAATATCCATTGACTAAAATCAGGGTTAGGACCACCTGGTGTTGAGAACTTTGAAACACTATTTGATGAATGAACTCTTGAACCAGGACAAAAAATTAAGCAGTAACTTTTTGAGTTCATTCATCAAATAATGTTTGCAATTCATAGAGCTCTGAACTCTAATTAGAATCTAACTCAACACTGATAGACCAAAGTACTTTATTTTGGATAAACTACATTTAATGGTTCTTCTGTTGATTATCTATCAAAGGCTATCTACAAATTCAATCCAATACCCATCAATATCCCAACCTCATTTTCAATGAAATGGAAGAAGCAACCCCAAAATTCATATGGAACAATAAAAGACTCCCGAATAGCAAAAGCAAATCCTTAGCAGAAAGAACAGTGCTTGGAGGAATATCAATACCAAACTTCAAATTCTATTACAAAGCTATTGTAATCAAAACAGCTTGGTACTGGCACAAGAACAGACCTGAGGACCAATAGAATAGAACTCAAAACCCAGAAATGAACCAAAAGACCTATGGCCATTTAATCTTTGATAAGGGAGTCAAAAAAAGGATGGGAGAAATGGTGCTGGTAAAATTGGTTAAACACTGTAGAAAACCAATTTTGATTTATTGTTCACACTAATGCCAAAGACAGGAATGTTAGCCTGTAATGTTTATTGATGTCTATGTCTGCGGCTCACAGTATTTCCCTACAGGAGGAGGTACTTCTGGACATTGTTTTTGTTCATTAAGTCCACATCTTCAGATATGACAGGTGACATAGCCAAAGAGTTTTCCTACCATCTTCCTCTTCCCATTCTCAGTGCTTGCTGTAATGCAGATAATATGGGACTCTAGTTTGATTTATTGCTTCACTGAATTTTGAACAAAGAAGAACAGTCCAAGAATGACCCCAGGTATGAAAAGTAATATTTATTATGGAGAATATACAGAAAAAGGAGTTTGAGTTGTCACATGGTAATCATTTTATGGTTTTGCCATACTAGCATATTAGTAAATCAGCATTAGATAAGTATTAGCATGTGGAGTGGTGAATAAGACTATTATAAATCATAGTGAACTAAAGAGGTGATAGTGCAGTGACACAGGAAACCCTCCCAAATGGAGAATGGATCTTCCTGGATCTTGAGGGAGAGGGGAGATGTGAGAAGGGAGGACAGGAAAGCATTCCTGGCAGGGGAAGTTGGTGAGTGATGCCTCAGAGGAGGGAACTGCAGATTGCTGCACAGCTGGAGCCAGACAGCAGAGCTCTTCTTTACACTGGAATGAAGCTCAGCTGGTATGCTGGTGGCAAGGAGGCAAGTCCATTCAGAACTGGAGTGATATCGAGGTCCTGTGGATCCACAAGAGATTTCAGGTTGAAGTTCTGTAAAATGGTGGTCAGGAATAAAAATAGCTCCATGCGGGCTAGGCCTTCTCCAGCACAAATCCTTTTGCCTGAAATTAAAAAAAAAAAAAGAAAGCAGGAAATGATTCCTTGTATGTAAGTGTGAGCATATGAAACACTGCATTTGTAACTTGCAAAAGAGTGTCAATGTTCATTCAATGAATTACTGAATGCATGGCAGATGGATGATGCATGGAGGTACCCAGGGAAGACAGACTATTTGCCTATCTAACATGTAATCTTAACTAATACATCATTAAAAATTTTTATTTTTATTTTTCCAAATCTGAGAATGGCAGCACCCAATTGTAATTCAAGCAGAAGAGGCTAAGATAGAAGAATCTTGAGTTGGTAACCAGTTTGGGCTACATTTTTTAGATCCTATCTTTAAAAACAATCCAAATGTAAACCATACCAAAACAAATTATATTAAATAAAAACCAGATTATCATCATCATGTAAACCTTTCATTAAATGTTTCTACATGATAAATGCTCTTTAAAGTTTTTCTTCCTCTCTTTCCCTCTTTTCTCTTGCCGTGTTGGGGATTGATGAATTATTATATCAGCTATGTTCTCTGCTACAGAGAGAGGTCATAATTCTGGAAGACAAGTAAGTTTCCAATTGTATTTTTTCTCCTGTGGTTGAGATGAGGATTTAATACAGTTTGTCTTCAACCTGAAGGTCTACTCCATTCCTTCTCTCTTAGTATTATCCCTACTTACCAACAAGGCCTGTGACGATATACTTTGGGATTTCCTCCAAACTTTTGCATCTATAGAGTAATATACATGCAGGGGTGGAGGACACAGACCTTCCCAAGACTCCAAGTGGAATTCATCACATGGGGAGGAGTGGTGAGAAATACTGCTTTCACAATCAATTCAGCAGTCAAATTTTGACTCTGTCGCTAAGTACCCATGTGGCTGAGTTGCTTAAACTATCTGAACCTTAGTTTTTTCACATATTAAATGAGGATGCTAATAATTCTTTCATGTAGCTTTGGCAAGGCATTAAAATAATAATAGATTTTAATTTATTACAATTTTCATTGGGTTTTATTATTCTATGTATAAAAATTTGAGTTTCAGCTTTCTATGATAAACTATGTTCTAGAGACATCTGTGTTGTTCTAAAAAAATGGGTTCATATTGCGTAAGTTGTCTCCAGAAAAATGTTCAATGAACACTTTTGCATTTTAATACAACCCAACTGTCCATTTTATCAGCCTGCAGTACACAAGTTTAAATATTATATCATGAAATTCCTTTTGGCTATGATATGTTTTCCCTACAACATCAAGACACAGGCCACATTTCATTTCCTTTTTAATACTTTTTGTGACCCTTCAAGCAATAAAATCTTGCCCTCATTCAGTTTCCCAAATGTCATATTCAGATTTTCAGCAGCACAAAATAATCTGAAAACATAATTTTCTCATTATTTAAAATGTTTCCCTTTGTGTAAAACAAGTGAATTTTTGAAGAGAGATCACTGCCTTTCCCCTTAGTATCTAAGTTACAGATATAAAACAGCATTACCTGGGCACCAGTGGCTCATGCCTGCAATCCTAGCTACTCAGGAGGCTGAGATCTGAGGAATGCAATTTGAAGCCATCCCAGGGTAAAAAAGTCCATGAGACTCTTATCTTCAATTAACCACCAGAAAACTGGAAATGGATCTGTGGCTCAAAGTGGTAGAGTGCCAACCTTGATAAAAAGTGATGGACAGAGTCCAACCCCTGAATTCAAGCCCCATAACAAAGAAAAAAACACCCAAACAAATGAACAAAAAAAGACAAAAAACAATCAGGAGTCCAGAGGAAGATGGAGGAGAAGCTGGGGGCTAATCAAGTTCTGGCATAGAAGCAGTTTTAGCATTCCAGTGAAAAGTCCTAGGCTAGAGAGTCACACCAAGTATGCCATTATAGTACAGAGAGTTTGGCCAGAGAGGAAAAATCCAGGCAGCTTGGTAAAGGAGATAGATTACAGTACTTGCCAGTGTCTTTGATGGTAGCAACAGGGGCAGCTGCTGCCACAGCCACCATACCAGCAGAAAAAAGCCTGGGACAAAGGTGCTAGATGTGGTGTTTGACCAGATTCTACTCACCGTCAGCAAGAACTGACAAGGAGTGGGAATCCTCATTGTGTTGACCACAGATACTTGCAGACCCTGCAGACCCTGCAGGGCCTGGAAACCAAGGGTTGGCGTGAGTATCCCAAGACATCCTCACTCCCTTTCACAGAGCAGCAGTGGGAAGGTAGCTCCTCCCACACCACTGGAGAAGAGCTCCATCTTTGATACTGACAAAGGCCCAGGCCAGAGAAGCTAGTACTCAATTCAGGCCTTGGGAGAAGACAATAGGAGCCATTCAAAAGGTCACAGGAACCTGCTCTGCCCAGCTCTGCTCCACCCAGGGAAAAGTTGCCCTTCCAGAGGAACCTCTGCCCCCAGAGGAACATCTGCCCCCAGAGGAATGACTTTCTTCACTCGGTAAACAGAACCAGAGGCCACCCCTTCCAACTGTAGCCTAGGCAGCAGACCCAGTGCAGGAGGGGTAAAAGTAAGCATAAATGCTGAGAATTGCTCCAGGCTGGGCTCTGTGAGTGTCTCAGGAGCTAGTCCCTTAGGGTAAAGCTACTGATCTCCGATAGGCTTCAACCCTACCCACAACCTAGCCCCATCACATCAACTCCAAGCTAGAGGAAACAGCCATCTCCCTCTTTTGTGATACTCAAAGTAGCTCTCCCTCCCACTGAACTAGCCTGGGAGGAGGGTCATAAAGTTCTGGGTAAGGCAGAGCTTCTTTCTGCTTGCTCAAACAAACTGACTTAAGAAACCAATGAAGCCAGAGGAAAACCAAACACCACAAGCAAACCAGAGATTCCACCCAGGGGAGACACAAGATTCTCCCCCCTTCCCCTGCAAAAAAAGAATTGAAGAATTATTTCTTCTACCTAATCTTTAAAAATTTTTTTAATTGTGTTTTTTTTTTCTTCATCATTTCTATTTTAGGTGTGTGTGGTTTTTTTTTTAAACTCTTTTTACTCTTTTACGTTTTGGTCTTTTTTTGGTTATTTTAGCATGACTTAATTGCTCTTCTGCTCATCCCCAGATATATACTCGTCTTTGATTATTAGACCTTATGCTTCTTTGTGTGCATATCTAATTCATATATTGATTACTCAACTCATAAACTCTCAGCCTTACCTCCTTTAACAGTAGTATTATTTCTTTATAAAATTTTTAAGTGATTCATTTAAATTTTTTATTATTTTTTCATTTTTCCCTTTTTCTTTACTCTCACTTTTCTTTCTATCCTCCTCTCTCAGTATTATTTCTTTATACTTATAAATTTTTAAGTGTTTCATTTAAAAATTTTTAACCTTTATTCTTTCCTTTTTCCTTGTTTCTTTGTCTCTCTCCTCCTTTCCTTCTATCTGTTTCCTCTCTCTGAATTTAGGTCTTGGTTAAATTTCCTCTCTCCTTCCTCACATTCCTCTAATCTTATCTTCTCCTCACAGTTCTCCCTAAATCTATTAATTTCTGGTCTGCTGACTCCTTCTTTGACATTCTTAGTCCATTAATCCATAGTTGTTCGTTGTTGAACTAGAGTGTATCTGCTGACCTAGATTGTATCTGTACTCATTTTGACTGCATCAAACAATTGTACAACTACAGAGTTCTGGTTGATACTTGCCTTAAAGAAGTGTTCTAGTGAAATTGGTTTTGCTTTCATACCAAGTGGGCAGAACTAGCCAGAGAAACAAGAAAAATGGCAAGACCAGGTATCTCAACTCCCACTCATGAAAACCAGGCAACAGAGCAGTTAATGACTAATCCAGAGGAGAGTTCCCAAAATGCTCTACAAACACCACTGCCAAACATGCTGAATGAAAAGATTGAAAGACTGCAAAGGACTGTGTGTAAGCATGATAGGGAAATGGGTAAGCAGGATAGAGAAAAGCATGAGCATGCTGAGGCTAACCAAAGATTAATACAGGAATCTCGTGAGCATCATGAAGCTAACCAAAGATTAATGCAGGAAATATGTGAGCATGATGAGGCTAGCCTAAGATTAATACAGGAATTTCATGAGCATGAGGAAGCTAATCAAAGATTAATAACAGGAATTGCATTAGTGGGATAAGAATAGACAAAGATTAAAAGAGGAATTTTGTGAGCGTGAGGAAGCTAATCAAAGATTAATATAGGAATTGCATGAGTGTGTTGAGAATAGACAAAGATTAATGGAGTCATTCATGGAATCCACAATCAGACAGGTGAAGGAATCCAGGGAGGCCACAAAGAGAATGCTGAATGGAGCCCATCAGAACGAAAGGGAGTCCAATGAAACTATAACCAATCAACTAAGTGATTTGAGAATGAACACTGAAAACCAAATTAAGGAATTAAAGAAGTCCATACACGATCTAAAACAAAGCTCCAACAAAGAATTTGAAGCCATCAAAGCTGACCAATTAGAAGAAAAGGAAATAAAAACAAAGGATAAGGTCTTGACAGTATGTTAGACCATGAAGAAGATTGAATCTCAGGGATTGAAGACAGGCTAGATGTTATAAAGAAAGAACAGGCAGCTATTCAAGACAAATCTAAGAAATATGACAGATCTATTCAACATTTGGAAGATACAATGAGAAGACCTAATCTGAGGATAATAGGTGTAGAGGAGTGCAAAGAGACAGAAATTAATGGTCTAGGAAATTTATTTAACAGGATCCTAGTAGAGAACACCCCAAACATGCAAAAGTATAGGCCTATTTAGATACAAGAAGCCTTTAGAACCCCAAATAGACCAGACCAGAACCTGACATCCCACCGTCACATTATAATCCACACAGGATTAATTCAGACCAAGGCAAGGATCCTTAAAACTGTTTAGGAGAAAAGATCAATCACCTATAAAGGGAAACCAAACAGAATAACTTCAAATTTCTCAGCAGAGACAATTAAAGCAAGAAGATGCTGGAATGATGTATGCTGCACCCTAAAGACAAACAACTATCAACCAAGTATACTCTATCCAGCT